CATTCGATACGGAAACACTTTTTGGTTCTGAAAAATAAACTTTTCTTATCTCCATGCTCTAGAAGCAACAAAAATGCGCGAAAAGATTTTTTTGCTATCTGTCTTATGGTAGCCGACTGGAAAGGAATAAGTGTGAATCCACACTTACGTGGGGATTTACAACAAAACTGATGATTTGTCGAGAACAACATACTTTTCGTTAGTCACAAAGTCAGTACTCATTGAAGATTGAAGAACAGCAACACCTGGAGGTATTCTATTAGTGGCCATCACAATATACTTGATTACAAAGAACTCATTTTGGTAAAATCATAAAAGAAAGACTTGGATATCTTACTTTACCCCTCATAAAAAAGAAACACGTCAAGAAAAGAAAACGTTTTATTTTTGTTAAAACAAACACTGTTTTCTAGAATTACGCTACCAACATATCATATGTGTGACGGCTCTCGAAGAAGTATTTGAAGTCTGAACGTATTAGTACGGTTCATCAAGCCTCAAGGCTGAAAAGTTTTTAAGTCCAAGTTACCAGTTGAAGAAAAATAAAGTTATTTTAGAATTACATAAACGCCATCGTTGCTGCCGCTTTTTCTTTAGACGAATATATTGAGTCAGCAGCCATTAGGTATGCTTCCCGTACATTAGCATCATTTTTTGGCAGCCTTGGAGCTAATTTACATAACACGTTGCTCTTACGAGAATCATCACTCATTTCTTCAATTTCATCTAAAATTGATGGAAAATGTTGGGCTTTCAGATAACGATTACGTATCAAATCGGTAAAAACAATTTGTTTATCTGCACTGGAATATATTGTTCCTATAGCTGAAAGGACGACATCCAAATGTTGACCAGTAAATTGTTCATGTAGCAAAAATGCTTTGAGACTGATGGTTTTTTGATTATCTGCGCTAATATCATTGATGGCTTCTACACTCACCCGAAACTGTTTTTCTGACAGCCCAGAGCGTTTAGCAATAAGCTGAACCACATCACTCTTTTCTTCGGCAGAATAAATGGTTTCCGCGCATTCCACAACACCAGCAATGATCTCATCTGATAGATTTTTGTTTGCCAGAAGATGTTTAAGCACTTGAGCTTTTCTGAATCAGAACTGACGTTCTTGGCGAGCTAGATCTGCGTGTTAAAAGTGGGTAATGATTCGACAGTTGACGTGTCTGAAAGAAATATTCAGCATTAGTAATAGTTAATAGGCAGCTAGATCAGAAAAAAATCTGATAGAAAAGGTTCAAAAAATATGCGCTCTAATCTGCTTTTTGAAAAAGATCTCTCATCATTTTTTTAACGTGCAAAAAGACCAAATGGAGTTTTAAATGCCATTTTGTGACGATCTTTTGGATCAATCGGTAATTGCCAAAAGCCGGATTTTAAGTCCAGTTTTGAAAAGAATGCAAATCCGTTTCCCACTTCCTGCAGAGTGTCCTCCATGTTCGAAAGGAGAAACTCGTCTTTGATTGTGATGGCATTAAGTTTCTTATAATCGATAACTAATCTCCAACTTTTATCTTTCTTTTCTACCAAAATTGCAGGAGACGCATACGATGAATTAGATTCTCTCACATGACCAGATTCCATTAACGATTTGACGATGTTATACAAAGCTTCTCTTTCTTCATATGAAAATTGATAAGATTTCGAGCAACGCGGTGGATGCTCTATTATATTGATTGCATGTTTAATCATAGTGTTCGCAATGGGTGGTTTCGAGATATCAAATATTTTAGCATATGGAAGAAATGTTTGTTTTAATGTAGATCTTTGTACGTCGTCTTTAAGATGTAGGAGAAGATTATCGATAGAGGTTTCTGAAATTGAATTTATCAGGCGAAATGAACGCTGACGTTTGATAATGTTGGTTGTCGTTTCTGTTTTATTTTGAATGATGGTAATTGTTTGCGATCCTGCATCAATTTTCATTTGATATTTATTGATGTAGTCTTGACCAAGAAGACATGGAGAACAAAGACGTTTTACAACGTAGGCAGATATGTCTGTAGTTGTTGAGTTAATTTTAATTTGATGTTGGACAACTCCGAGGACTTCAAGTGGTGTTTGCCCATCTGCATGGTATAACTTCCACAAATAAGTACTAAAATATTTCTTATGGCGAGTAGAAGAAAGAGCTTGTTGTGTTATAAGTGTGTTAGTTGCTCCGGTGTCAATCATTATTTTCATGGGAGTGTTATTTATACAGGCCAGAAGTCCATCCAAATGAATGATTTCTTCTTTGATTGTGATTCGAGTATGAATTAGCTGTGGTAGAATCAGAAGAAGAAGAATGTGTGTTAAAAGCGATGGTTGAGAAGAAGAACTATTAGAAGAAGTGTTAGAAGGTTGAGGTTGAACAGAATTTTGTTGTGATTTATTATTATCAGAACGTTGTGTCGCCGTTATATAAATATTTGAAGATGCAGAAGAATGGGACCGAGGTGCTGCTGTTGTTAATAAATTATTTGAATCTAGATTATTTAAATCAGGATCTCTGCTAGGCATGCACCAGTTACAGTTAACTGTAAAACTGTAACTGTCATAACTGTATAACTGTTATAACTGTAACTGTTATAACTGTAAAACTGTAAAACTATAACTGTCATAACTGTAAAACTGTAACTGTTATAACTGTAAAACTATAACTATCATAATTGTTCCGAAGATAGTTCAGAATGAGTTATCGTTGTACTATTAGCATAGGTTTCAGAGTAAGACAAAAAAAGGATATATATTTAGCTTTTCTATAGAATTGGCAGAGGTTAGTTACGTCTTTAAAGATAATTATTTCAGTCGACAAAACCACATCTATTTCTTTATTGGGCAATCTAAGAACATTAGGCAGGCAACAGTTACATTTAACTATAAAACTTTAACTGTCATAACTGCAACTGAGAAAAGGGT